ATCTATATTTAATTTCAAAACTGTAATGTATGAAGGTTTTATCTCTTATTTTGTAACAGAACTGTTGATTTGAAAGGACACTTGCCCCACAGATTAATCCACTCTGTAAATTCAGTTTAGAGAGACTGATGTATCTGGAAAGAGTTGTGTGTAGCTAACATACTCTAGAAATGGTTTACCATATAAGGAGTAAAACTGGACTACAGGTTGCACTTGCATTCCCAAAGCACGTGGCAATTGAAAGTGGGCTGCTATAGCTGATAGAAAAAGCTCACAGTCTCATTTAAGGTTTCCTCAGACGCAAAATGATCTCTTGGGGTGAGGTTACCAGGGAAGTGCTGACTGTTGCTGTTTGATGAGCCACACTTCATATAAGCAAAGAAAAAAACAGAGATAGATCCTACATCAAGTTTATGGATCAAAAGACCTCATGGTTTGGGAAAGGTGGGATATTGAATTTCCACTTAAAACTCCCAGGAAGTTTTTGTATATTTGGGCATTTCAAAAGATGTTCAAGCTTTGGGAATGGTGGGGTGGGGAAGGTGTATGTGGAAAGGTTGAGAGTGGGAGAAGGAGGAAAAATATTAAACCACTAAGTATATGAATAAATTATTAGCTCTACTCCTCACTAATAACTCCAATTTTTAATTTATTTTCTTTTTACAATGAAGTTAATGATACTCTAAAAGTATAAGTATATCATATTTTCTGGTGTTCCCTGAATATTCTGATTTTAAAAAAGCATATAATCCTATATACATAATCTTTGCAAATATACCTGAGATCTAGACATTGACTTCTTCCCTCTCTTTTGTCAGCATTATTAGTACATACTTATTTATAAAATTTCAGCAGAACATTTTACTGCAATTGGGGTAGAAAGCAAACAGGAACCAGTAGAGGCTATTGCAGGTAATTATTAATTACATAACTAATTAGTATTACGCCCCACAGGTAATTACCAAAAAAATTAATATACACAAATACAAAACACTTCCTAAAAAGGTTTTGAATTCAAAAGATTTTGGAAGTCTTAAAACTTTAGGTTAAGCGTGGACAATAGTTCTGACATTCATGGCCAAAATGACAGTTGCAGCAAATTTCTACGTACAGAATTCACAATTTTTCCTCAGGGGAAAACAAAACAAAGCAAAACACAGGTCCTAGAGCCAATCAACTGATAAACTAGATTGTTGGTAGCCTGATGGAGATGAAGTTGCTGCAGCTCCCTATTTTTAATCCATGGTTTAGAAGCAAAATGAGGTCAAGTGGTGTTCCCATAAGGCACACACACACAGATGCAACATATACACACAACAGATGACACACAGATAGAACCATTCAGCACTCAAACACACATTGCCCAAACAGGCTCATTCTTCTCTGACTGACCATGAGGAAGGGTGATTTATAACTGGAAAGATGCTCACATACTCAACATGAACCACTCCTGTAACTTGCCTTAGACATTCAGTCTATCCAGTAACTAGTCTGGATCTCCAGACTTCACACTTGATGCCATCTGGACAGACAACTCTGAGGCCTTCAGCTCCCCTCCAGCTGCAGGTACAGACCCACTTTTAATCCTGGATATGCTCACACATTCCCACTCAGCCAGTAAATTATTGATCCCCCAGGACTTTTTACACTGTACATATCCAGTAACAGTACCTGGACATCTCAGGCCCCCAGTGCCCAGTGATATCCCCACATACACATTATGAGCTCCTAGTAGCTGGCTTTGGCATTGAGGCTATCCAGGAGCTGGCTCCTGGCTCCCTGGTCTCCCCTTAACTCACGCACAGAGACACAGAGGTGCAAACAGGGCTCTCATTCAACCCTCAATGTCTCCAGACTGGTCTATAACTCTTGGCTCCTCCAAAAGCTGGCTCATCAGCCTTCTGGTCTGGACTTTTGGCCATGTGGATATCCATAATCCAAACCACTCATCCAACTTGCTGGCTACTCTAGCCTGAGACCTTTTAGTGATCCTACACTGGCATAGGCACCCATGCAATACACACATAGTCTGCATTTTCCAGTTTCCAGACTCACAGACTCATGGTCCAGCTCCAGTTGCTGGCACTTAAACCTCCATACAAACATGCATACAAGAGAGACCCTTTACTCAGGAAAATAGTTAGAAATGGGGTATAATAAGACACAGGATACAGGACAAACTGCTGATCAAGACAAGGTATAAGCAAACAATGGTGCTGAGCAAAGCCTGTTTGCACATGGGTGGCCCCTTTAATCTTCTTATCCCCCTATTTTCATTTGCTTTTCCCTCCCTAATCTATCTCAATCCCTCCCTTTCCCTACCTGTGGTCCTTTCTCTAAACATCCAAGAATAAGTCTACACAATCCCAAGAAGCTCTTCCCTGCATCCCGTAATGTGTCCCATACTCCTGTAGGAAGTACTTCTCTCAGTCTGAAGAGCAATCAGGGCAGCATTTCCTTTTGACTCCTCATGGTACGTTTCAGTCCTGGCACATGGGGCTGAGGCTGTCCTGGGACAGCCCTGGGAGGAGGTTGGGCTTGAGTATAATTAGGACAGGGGATTTACTCTCCCTGCACTGCATCTCTGTCCGACTTTGGGTGTGTGTTATCTTTTATCAGATAAGTTCTGCCAAGAACACAATTTTTTCTGCTTCAGAGTTTGTAATTTAGTGCTGGCCCTTTGTTATATTTTAAATGTATGAGTTCTATAACCTTTTTTAAACTATTCTACTCTAGGCTTCTAAAAATCTATAACTTTAAAGTGTTAATATAGTAAATTGTCTAAAATCAAATATAGGCAGCACTAAGGTAGAAGACTTCTTACAAGAGTAATCACACTAGAGCTATAAACACCTTGATATCTGCTTCTGATAGCTCCAAGAAGCTCTACTGATTGTTAATAACCTTAGGCTTCACAAACATTATATTCAGTCATGAATATTGGGACCTTTCTCTTTCCCTTTTTGCTTCTTTTGGTCCTTCTTTGTTGTAAAGAAAGTTTGCGCATGCCAGTGTAAATTCATAGGACATCCAGATAAAATATAGTTAAGATGGAATTGAACAACTGAGCTACTAGGAAAAGTAGGTCACAGAAATGCTTGTAATTCAGAAGTGATGTTTTTAGAAAATGAGTCTTAAACCCCAGAAATTCAAAGTGAAATTCATAGTGAAAAACTCCATTTTTCAAGACTTTCCCATCATTTCCAATATTCTATATCTTCCCATTATATCATGCCAAATTAAATTAACTGCTATTCTACAATTATAAAAAGCCAGCTTATAAAACCAAAAAGGTTTTCTCCTGTTTTTAATTGTTTCATTGTCTACTTATCTAATTTTGTCATTTTCATATACTAAGGTATCAAAATAATTTTCATATTCTAGACAAATATTAAAAAAAGTTTAAGTTCATAAAAAGTTATTAAATTCCTGTCAAAGCTCAAGGCGTGAGAGCGAAATACACTGCCATCTGCTTTCCTTATGACATCCAGTGATTTAACAATACTATTTCTTTTGTGATACACACTTGATATTGACAATATCCCTTACGATTCTTCACTGACTGAATAGCAGCTTCAGACTACAAGTTCCACACCATTATAAAAATAAAAAATGCAGACCATTGCCTCAGAGTGCCGAAACAGAAGTAGAAATATAAAACAGGGTTTCATTTCTAAGTAACACAAGGGTGGAGAGAGCTGGAGGACTGTATCACTGATTTTCCATAACTCTTACTTGTTAACACGCACCCAAGAGTGGTTTTCACCTGTGCACCCAGTACTTTGCCCGACTGTTCTCACACGTGGCTGGGTAAGGTGTGTGCCAGCAGATGTTCGCAAAACACGAAGCATATATGAACAGGCCTGCCTCAGGTTTCCATGCCAGCACCTTATATAGTCCTCTAACATGATCCTGTCAGGCTTTGCACTCTTAGGCCTTGCTAACATGAGCTCACAAATTTATAGAACATTCTAGATTGAGAAAGATTTTCCTCAGGGTGCCATGGAGTTCAGTCTCCTAATCAAAGCAGGACTAACCTCAAAGCCAGCTGAGATGGTACAGATACACTTCTCTTGTAATGAAGCAAGGGCACACCTCCAAGTACCACAGAGATTAATGTACACAAGCAAAGAAACTTAAACGCAAGAACATTAAAATGAAAACTATTTACACTTCAGCACATTTTAAAAATTACTATTATTCCCTACAGTTAATTAGGGGAAAATACACTGTTAAGTGTATTTCATTTGTCCCCCTCAGTATTAAAGCTTTGATATAGACCAGGAAAAACAGTTACAAAATTCAGATTAAAAATGTACTTTTTAAAATTATATTTCTTCATTATTGAGGACTAGAAATACATGCTAAAAATGTATGATCATATTAATATTTAAGATCATCCTCTTTAGAAAATCCAAAACTACTAACAATTCCCAACCTCAAAAGATATTTTTTCTATCTTTAAGTAAACCAATTTGGATACATTATACATAACCTACAGTTTGTGGAAAAAAGGAAATGGTGATGCATAAAGTTTAAGCATAAATATTTCAGTTCATTCTACTTCTTAAATCATAGAATAAATTTGCAGTACTACAGTTTTACAAATACAGAATGGTAATAATTTATTGTGGTATATGTGTTGAAGCACACATTCAATTATCCTCCTAAGCATTTAAAATCATAATGTATTAGGCATACTTGAGTCACTTCCTAAACAGAGGCTTGAAAAGATGAAAGAGTGCTATTCCAGTTTGGCTGAATGGCTAACATCATGACATGATACAGAATTAATTCTGTACACAGCAGGCTCACTTTAGTACTCAGCAAAACATAGCAACTCCTACATTTCATAGTGCTGAAGTAAAAAGCAGGATATAAAAGGAATTAAAAAAAAAAATCTCACACACTTGCATTTTGTACATTGGATTTCACCCACTAGACTTAAATAACTGCATCATATTAGCCAAATCCCACTGACAGAAATATAAAATACCCACCTGTTTTGGGATCAACTGAGAAATATGGCTGTCCCTGAAGAATACTGTACACTACTCTGGCACTGTTTCCATATGTGGGATCATCTGCATCTGTGGCTGTCACCTGTAGAACAGATGTACCTGTATGTACAGGAAAATAAAAATTCATTGGTAATAAATATAATTTTATGACAAATATTTTCAAATGCATTTTTGAAACCTCTGCAGTCTTCACACTCTACAATTGAGAGATTCATAACATTTTCTCTATTTGTTATTATACTACCATATTAGGAAAACTAATTATACTAATTTGTTAAAATCGTTTTTGTCTTTCTTTCTATATATGTATATGTAAATTAACTACATACATAGAAACATAAATAGTAATGACATGGTATGCATATTTATGCATGTTCACACACATAGACCTCAAACTTGGGTATTGATTTCTGAAAAGCTCAAATTTATGGACTTCAGGATTATCTTCATCTACAATACAAATTAATGTTGAAGTATTTAAAATAACATCCGTAAATGCGCCCGTATCAATAAAAGATGCAAAGGGAATAAAAAATCTAGCTATTGGAAGGCATCGAAGATCTCAAAAACTACAAGAACATTGCTAGGGATCCAAATTAGAAAGATAATGAGTAAAAGACAATTATTTTTATGCTAGTAATAAAAACCACTAGAAAAATAAAATCACGGTTTCTAGAATGTCACAAGGTGGGATAAGTTATGACAACATTTTTTAGAATATAAAATGTGTAAGTATTGCACAGATAGAATAGAGATAAGTGATTTTACTTTTTACTATATTTTTCATGTTTAATGATGAATCTTTTTTGCTATCACTGCCAAACACTTCACATAATTAATCAGTAAATGAAAGATTGCACTTTAGTAAAGGTTTAGCCTTCATTCCATTTGTTTATCCTTCTACAGACACAGCTTTCTACAGGCTTCTTTGGTTCACCATCAAAATACCAGAATAATAATAACAGAACAGGATGCTATCATGTAACTCTGCATCTGAAAATGGCTTCTCAGGTAAATTAACCACTGAGGCATCACCTCCACTCTGGGGTGTTCAATTTCACATCTTAGTTTTGAGGAGAAGTATGTTTTTTAATTGAAGCCCTTGATCTCCTCTACTTGTTGTACTTTGATTTGCCTTATGAAACAGTTTCAGAGCATGCTAACTAGATTTCTGCAGATGAAACTGAACCAGGAGATGTGCTTTAGTAGCACACCTGCTGACTTTTATTCTGACTATTTATTCTGACTGCTAACAGGCAGGTAGCCTCAGAGATCAGACAAGAGCTAATCTGAAATAAGATTTCCCAAAAACATATGGCGGGGCCATCAGTTCCTCAGTTACAAATGTTTACCTTTCCATTGCACAGAACTATTTGTTGATGTGCACACCCTCAGTGTACAGGGAAAATAGAAGTACCTAAAATCATAGGGACTCACTTGAGGTCTAGCAAACTAAGCATGCGAATCTTCACACCTTCTTCACTCTTTGAGAAACTCTTCTCTCATTTGTGCCACACTAACTTGGATACCCAGAGTTGCTGTTTTTATCTCTACTGGAGACTTAGTAAAACGTATGGCTCTGATCTCTGAGAAGCCCAAATGCATACAGTCTCATAGATAAATATATTCACAAAGCAGATATAAGGATATCTTGATGAATTTGAAGTTGAAAACTGTACTAAAATCAAGCTGGAGCTGGAGCTGGAGTCTGCTCATAGTTATTCAGAAGTTAATGGTAAAAGTAAATTTATTACTTCATTTATGTTTATACGGAAAGGTAAACAAATATGAATTAGTTTGTGTATTTTGTCTTCAACTGTTCTAGGAATCTATTCAGCTGTATTTATTTGCTATTTAAACAAAATAAGGGTTCCTGAAATCACTTCTTATCACTTCAAAGAACAGACAATGCATTTTCCCCCCTATTATATAGCTTACTGAAATGCTATAATGATATATTTCTGTAACCCAGTTTTCCAATAATTTCTAATTTGAGAGGAACTTGTATGTTTCAATCTTGTGGAATCATTGAAGTCTAATAGGTTACTGATAAACAATGATTTTATTTTATTTTTTTAGTTGCATACAGCAAAAACAGGTATAGTCAGTCACCTACCAGTTTGCTATCCAGAATGCTGGGCAACTTCCATAACTTTTTATCTATAGATTTTCCTGTTTCTAGGAAAACAGTTACCACCACGGTGAGTTTGAATTAGCACTTTTCCCCAGAATTCTAGAAAATTGAAATGGATGAACAGATTTTGGCTATTTCAGAAGAAAGTACCAGAACTACTGAGATTTCTCATCCTTGGGAGACTTTTTTCTCTCTCCTTATTTTAAAAGGTAAAAAAGAATCTGAGAGCTTATATTGCTCATTGCTATGGGACAAAAGAAACAGGAACGGTAAAAGGGGATATCTCACATAAGCAGCTGACAGGCCATTTTAACATAAATGGAATGCCATTGTACCTTAAAATTTGCCACAGTGATTTTCTAATACAACTGTATCTCTCTCTCAAGACACAGTTGATAATAGTAATTTAGTATTGAATAGTGGCAAAGTATTCTCTTTCTACCTAAAAGAACACTTAGAATCACAAATTTTAACTCAAACTCCCGCCCTACCTCTCAAACTCTCATTCAGTGAAGCTTAATTTTTTCACTATCTTACACAAGCATGCTCAACATTTTGTAAAATATCCTTTTGCCTAACTCTTGCCTGATTTTTTGAGCACCAAGGAAAGGCAGCTTGTGAAAGCTGTGGGTTAGAATACCTTGCAAGAAAAAAAGTAAAGAGGGTACCTTTGCGTTCCAACTACTCCTTTCAAAGTTAGCATCATTCAGGGTCATCAGCACGACAGACAAATCGTAATTCCAGATACATTTGTATCATTTAGATGCAGCATCATTTTTTGTCCTTGAGTTACGTGTAATGAAGGATTTAAATAGAGAAGTATAAAGTATAGCTACCTTGCTATTTTAAATGTTAACAAGCCTGAAAAAAAATCATCTGATACAAAAGATAAGGGTCTAATTTCTCCAGAGACCGCGGGAGAGATATGAACATCTGACCCAGAGGCATACCTTCCATTCTTTCTTCACTAACTTACTGTGAAAGTGCCTGTCAAGAAAAACTCAAAATTTTGCTATGAAAGCAATTTGTCACTCCAGTTAGGCAATAAAAAAGAACTTTTTTTCCCCAAAGCAGAGTCTCTGCTTATTCAGAGTATAACTTCCATTACACATGCTTTCCCACTACATGTCAGAGATTACATATTGGGAATTCTGTTTCCTTAATTAATGCTTTATATAGAACTATAAAACATGTCTGTATGCTCTGAACACCACATTGTAAGCTTTCCTTTTTTTGTGTCAAAAAAAAAAGGATTATTTAATTGTGGAACCAAACTGTAGTTTTATTCAAAATATATTCCTTTGTTTTTCCCTTTTTTTTTTAATATGTTTGCAATAAAAAAAATTTAGTGTTATATATCAAACAAAAGATGAAAGGAAATACTTCAATTTGTCTCTCTGAAGACAAAATTTTTAATGTTTAATGAGGCAGTTCAATAAAATATGTCTGTTGAGAATGCAAATCTGTATGCATTCTGTATGCATGACTTTCCATAGTTTGCTGCACTGTTAAAATCTCAAATGGATCAATATTGAATAAAAATTAAAAGAAGTGAAAAGAATACGAAGTTTTTCCTGCCTAACTAACTGAATTCTTGGTATTGTCTTAGAACACTAATGAATCAACAAAATGTGATTTAGTTTCACAACATGGGAAGTTAAATAGCCACTTCTAATAAAAATCATGTTTATGAACAACATGAATATTGTCTTCCAGATTATCCATAATTATGGCTGCCTCACATTACAATACCCTGGAAAGAAGTTCAGAAGAGTCCACTATATCTGCTAATTTCTGAAGTAGAATTTATTGGGAATACTATTCTTATCACAGAATCACAGAATGGTTATGGTTGGAAGGGACCTCTAGAGATCATCTAATCTCGCCTCTAAATTACCTCAGCATTAAAAGCTTAATATGCAGAGTTTCACTCATTTTGCAGCTGACAATTAACACATATGAAAGTCTTTTACTGATTAAAAAAAATTCTTATTTCCTTTTAATTTACATAAAGATGACTTTCATAAACCTTAAAAGATGTCACAGATTTGTCAATGAAACTGAGTTTTTTACACTGCAGAAGAAATAATTTCAGATATAAACCTTGGATCTGGAGCCAACTTTTAGGGAAAAGGTTCAATGAAGGTAAGGAATAGGTGTTTTCTTTCAGCTCTTTCAGAATAGTACATAAAGGATAAAGTATGTTCACTTTGTGTCACGGTGAATACGTTCTTGTCAGTGACCTTAAAAAAACAGAAAGGTCATAAAGGTCCTACAGCTTTTACAACTAGATTGAGAAAAGTTCAAATTGTGGGGGAAATACCACCTAATATCTTGAGGAGACAAATAAGAACCTGTTGCTGATGCTAAACAACATAATGGAGATCAGAAATACCACCATTCAGCATGAGGACTGTTGCAGAAACACAGTAACATTGAAAGGTCACGTTGATCGTGTGAAAACCATAAGAAATTTTTAAAGTAGTGAAGCATCCTTAGAAATCCATAAAATAACATCAAGAAGTTCAGTTATGTATATACTCTGCAGTTAAGTGTCATAAAACATGTTAATTACAGAACAAATAAAAGTGGCACAGATATCCCCATAATTTGACACAAAGAATGTATCCTGTGGAAATAATAATAGAATTAGTCTTCCTGAAATTGCAGGCAATAGAATTCTTTCAGTATGCAACAAATACAAACAAATCAGTGAGAGAAAAAGATAGCGATAATAAATTTGCAATGAAAAATATAATGTATACCTACAACATATGCATACCTGTATGATGCGATATGAAAACTCAGTTTTATTCACAGAACACAAAAGTTTTGTGAAATAAATATTTAACGACTTGCCTCAGGTACAACCAGTAAAGTATTTTATTTTTAAAACGTGCATTAATGTCTTATTTTACCACTAAAACTTCATTATTTTACCATAATCTACTCTGGTTTATAATCCAAAATACCATTCCAGACTATCTATTCAAATTATTCTTTGGGAAACAGTAACTTGTATGATGTAGTTGTATGGTAATACACAGTTCAGATTACTGAAGAATTATGACTAACATTTATGTAAGAATGCTCCATTTTGAGAGGATGAAAAAGAAAAAAAGAAAACTTTCATAAATAGAATACAAATAAAAATAATAATAATATTAGGTAATTTTGATTTTGAGGATCATACTGATCTCCTTTCCACTGTCTTTCCCCCTATGCAGAAAATAAAAGGCTTCCAAAGAGGAAGGAAATAATCAATTAAAATGGTCTCCATTAAAGATAAAGGAAACTGAAGAAAGAAAAGGATGGAGTTACACATTTTTGGAGACAGTTGATAAAGGAAATTAATTTCTCATTAAGACAGTCTGTGGTGTAATGAGAGATAACTGAGATAAAGTTTAGATGCTACTGAAATGAACTGCAACTCTAACAGTAAAGCTTTGTGCCACAGTGATTTATCAAAGACAGTTGAAGAGGTTTTGTACAGACTCACAATAGTTTTACTGGAAGCTCTGTGCACTCACTGTAGTAACTCACACAGAGGTGTTATGACATTATTCATAAAAATACTGCCCTTCTATACTTACATAAATTTTTGTTGGCAATTCCTCTATTAGGGGAAAGTTATAAAATAATTAGAACACCAGAGAAGTATTAAATAAAAAAAAAATTGATTGCTTAATGTAGTACCTTAAAGAATATCTGAACTACATAACCAGGAAAATGAAAGATCAGTACTTTTTAGAACTTCACTTTATAAGAACCTTACTAAAGATAAATAAATATATGTCTAAAATAATCTAGGAAACCACCATCTAGGAAACTACTATTCCTTTGTATTTGTTTAATTCTGTGAATTGCAGACTGCTTCTGTATACATAAGAGAATGCCACAAAGTGTGTAGTTGAATGAGGATATATGAATATATCGTGTTTCTAGCATGCAAAGAACCATTTGCCCAGGAATGTATGTTAAAACATTCAAGATTAAGAGTGACTCTCCTCTTACAATCATCTTGTGTGTGCACTGTTTGCTTACTATGAATGTCACAAGTAACATACAAGGTTGCATTTCATGTTTTCTTATAATCTCTTCTTAATTGTAATATCTTTAACGTACAATCAATGATACGAGGATGTGTTATAACTTTGACAAAAAGTAGTGGCATTTTCACTTATTAAAACACTGTTGAATAGAACAGTTTCTTTTCCTTACCCATTTCAGACATCTCTGGCACAGTGACAATGTATGGTCCATCTGTAAATTTTGGTGCATTGTCGTTGATATCCTGCACTTTGATAATAAATTCAGATTCAGGCTCAAGTGGCTTGTTTGTCCGTCTATCAATAGCTTGGGCATGAAGCACATAGTGTGTCTTCTGCTCTCGATCTAGGCTTTTGGTTGAATGGATGTCTCCAGTCGTGTCATCAATAATAAATATAGTCCCTGCCCCTTCTCCAGTGAGAATGTATTTGACTGATCCATCACCTTTGTCGGAGTTTGAATGCAGCTGTAGAAACACAAAAAATCACATAAGATAATTATTACATTTCATTAAAGATTATTGCACATAAGATATAACAACTATATTACTGTTAGCACCCCTCTACTTAGTTTTTACCCTTTCCATCTCTTTACCATAATTTCTCATGTGCTCTTTCTGGCAACCCAATAATTTTGTTCAGGGTTACTTCCATCCAGCATAGTTGATTTCTTAAACTGAGATTTCTTGGGTTCTAAGTCCATTCTAGAAAATCAAAATCAAGAATATTCTAGTAACTGGGGTGGTTTTTGTTTTATTTCGTTTTGGTTTTAGTCCTTCTAGTAGTTATTTTACAGCACTCACTGCTAGAAACCCTGTCTTAAGCACTGAACTGCATGAAATCACACTGAGGATTGTTTGCTTCAATGGTGGTACTTCAGTCTCATCACCTACATTTTCTTCTGTGTCTGCAAGGACAACATCATTTACTGTGAAAGGAAACTGCATAGTGTGACAGAGGCAGATGTCTGTCCAGGATTACTCTCTCCTACAGCAAAACACAGGCATTTTCTTTGGATTTTGTTTGTTTATTTTTAATCAGAAAATCAAACAATTTGCTTGTATTTAAATTATTTATAATTAGATAATGAAGTTTGACTGATACTTCCAGCATTTTTATTGTTCATAACACACAGTTTGTGCTATGAAATATTCATTAAATATATTATACCCCCTCCTTGAGTAGAATAAAGCTTTTATTTATTTGGGAAAGGAGGGAGGAAAAGCCACTAAGTACACTGGTTATAACATGAGATAACATGAAACAGCTTCCCATTAAGTCTCATTGCTTCTAACCTGACTTTAAAGAATTACCTGTTTAGATTAAAAAAGAATATGTGTTGTCTGAAAAGGAAGGATGATTTTTATACAAACTGAGAAGTTTTGTGGGTTTGTTTTTTTCTTTGAAATGACCTTGAGAACAGAATGTATTTATTCAGAAGCACAATTAAAAGAAAGTGAAAATGTGGAAATGAATAGCCTCGGGTACTGTGCAGCTATACTGTGTTGTAAAATCAGAAGGGAAACTTTCTGTTTAAGAAGACACTCATCCTACTGCCTTGACTATTTCTCAGTATATGCAATGTGGCATTACTAAGTTTTTATACAGAATCCGAGCAAAACAGAAGCAGAATGAAAGATATTATTTTTAATTAATGGAATGCAAGGTGTCAGTTTCCAGACTCGTTTTCATTCTCAGTTCAAAAACTACTCAGGATTGGATACAGACGAAATAAGACTTGTAGGGTAGAAAACATCTTTTTTCTTACTTAAAACATAAGATACAGAGATGCTGCTATTTTCTCACATGCTACTCGTACCTTTTTTGCAGGTCTCTGTCTTGCCATTAAAACTATCTACCTTGCTATTTGTAAAAGCAGTAAGCATATGTCACTTGATGGAATTTTTCATCTTGTGTATTAAATCCATGAAATTATGGTGTTGCACATAATTTATATCTTACTGTAGGGGGCCTTGGAGAGGTAAAATCTAATAAATCTAAGATTTTCAGCTCATATAAATCAGTCAATGCACTATATGCAAGCCACAAGAATATCTAACAGAATAACCAAAACACGACTGAGTCACCACAGTGGATCCTTTATTCTTTCTTTGTTGTTGTTGTTGGTTTTGGTTTTATTTTGAAAATGGAAGAAAAAAAGAAGCAGAAAAAGAGTCTGACTTTGGCTTTGCCTTTATACAACAGCAGAACAGTCTTACACATTTCATTTACAGTAGTCATTGGCAAAATTAATAATTTCTTATCCTTAGAATAACACTGTATTCTATTAACAAAGGAATAATTCACTCAATGCAAAATACCAGGAATCCAAACTTCTTATGATGAAGTAAAAATGTTCTTTGAAGTGATTTATTCCTAAAAACAAAGAGTAGCAGGTACTCTTGTATTCTAGCCTAGGTTTGCTGGTATTCTGATTTTTCAGAAACCATCGGAGTTGTTTCCTCTTGCTGTAGGCTCCTTTTGTGATAAAATGAGCTCTAAGTGATAGTGTTTGCAAATGGTAAGAGGAAAAGGACAAATTTGCTGAGTTTATGAAGATATTAGGAACTCAAAACTATACCAAATTGAAAAAGATCAGAAGAATCTCTATCCTACTTCTCTCCTTTTACCTCCACAGAAGTATGTTAAAATATATTAAGATATATCAGATAGAGATCCCAGCAAAAATCACTGCATCAATAACTGGAATTATGAAAGTATGAAACAATTAAAAATTGGTTACATTGCTAGGTAAGAAATACATAGAATAAAGAACTGCTGTAGAATTTAAGAAGTAAGGTTCTTCAAAACCCCAAATATGAACATACAAATGGCATTCCAATACCATACCGCAGAAAGGCATGTTCACAAATTCACTGTGATGGCATGAAATGGATGGACCATTCTGAAAAATTAATAACATTAGATACTTTTTGTTGTAAAGAAACAATTGCTTCTACTTGTCATCAGTGAAGAAAATCCAGGTACATTTTAGTCGGATGGCTTTTACATCTAACAAGAAAATTTAAGAAACACGAGAGATACTCAGCTGGTTTCACAGCCAACAAATTATATATTATTCCTGCTAAACATTGTGTTATCCAGCAAACTTCAACTGAAAAATGTGAGTAGTGATATCATTAGAAGAATGTTATCTGGGTATTAATAATCACTGAAAGCCTTCCATTTGCAACTAGATCTTTTAAACTTCAGTTGTATGGCAACAAGTGAAAACAAGTAAAATCTACGAGAAGTTCCTGCTTCCTTACCTCCTGATATTTCTTATATTGCTTGAAATATAGCACTTTGATTTAGGCCTTTTAATTTCTAATGCTAAATTTTAAATTCACATGGGAGGATTTTGCATAGCAAAAGACCTTTTCTTTTGTCAGTTGGTTTATATTTCAGTTTTTCTGCAAAATAAAGATTAAAGAACTGTTTGTCTTCTTTAATTCTTCCATCTCGGTACAAACTGGTCCAAGTAGAAAAATATCTAGGTTTCTCTCAAATGTTTATTTACAACATGTGTTGTGCTGAAAAGAGCCCCTGAGAATCCCTGCTTAAGACAATGCCTACCACATTAATGAGAGATTCATGTGCTGAGCATGATGCCCTTCTCTCTTCTCCATTCCTACTAGGAAATCATCTCCACAACATGTGGTTTATTCTACAAAAGCATTTCCAATTAGAATAAATGCGATTCATCACCTAGGTTACGACTACAGGGCTTGGGAGAGTGTATTTCTGCAGCTATGTCTATAATAATTTATAAAAGACATCAAGGGAGCAAAATCTAGCTGGACAATAGTGGACTTTCTCTTTTCGTGGGACCTGCTATAGGTATTTCTCTTTCAGATTAATTTGACAGAGAGGAGGATGCCACTAAGCAATGTAGATGCAAGCCAACCCGTGTTTTGCTCACCAGTTCAGATCCAACTTGTGTGACCTGGGGAAGTCATCTCAAACCAGATCCCTAGGAAGTGTGCGGTCATTACATTTCAATGAGATGCCACAACCTCTGCCATCACTACTGCAAGAACATGCTTACACTAGAGGATGAGACACTCACGTGCTGTAGCAATGTGAATCAATAGCTTAAACACAAAATTTGGTGCTACTTTTTTCTCTGCTCTGTTGGTCAGAGACAGAAAGATGCAACGCTGCGCCAGTCTCTTAATTTAAAAAGAAATACAAAGGCATTGCAAACTGAAACATGATTACCATAACATGAGGTAAGAAATAAGCATTGAAAAGAGATACTAGGGAAATATGCCAAACGTTAGAACATGGCTTTCTGATATCTGTGTGAGAGGTTTTAACTATGATTATGAAAATATTACTGAAAATGCTTTTTAATAGATCTTAGTTTCCATGATAGTCTGATGATTATATATTGATCTGTGATATTAATTGTTTAACTATGATTAAAAGAACCTTTTTTTCTCTTCTTTAATTGTTCCAACTTGCTTCCCTAAGCAGTCTCACATTAGACCCCAAACACTATTTTAAAAATTCCTTTGCAGATCAATATTTTGCCTAGTTATCCACTAGATACTAGTGCAGTTTGCACTTACCACTTAGCCCTCTCTAGCCTGACAAGGCTTCCCCCACCCTGCCCACGGCTCAGGACCTCTTTGAAGTACCCAAGAGGCACCAGCGTCTGCCCCAGCAATGCTGCAGCAGAGCTGGTCTCCAGCTCCCCACAGCCCTGCCCTTCCCAGCATCAGCTTGGCTCAATCTCCAGGGAGGTACCTGGGGCAGGGACTGCCCTGATACCCCTGATTCCCTGCTCCTGGCTGGCCTGATCATGACCTACCTGGGGGAATCTCCAGTGTCCCAGTCCCAGGGAGCTTCCTCATTCTGCTGATCCCGGACAGCAACATTTCCAATCTCCCAAACTGCAGTCAATGTAGGCTTCTGAATTCCTTTTGGAAATGTGGTTTCTATCCTAAGTGATGGGTTGGCTTCTGCAAATATTACTGCTGATTTGGTTATGCTTCTACCAGGATATATCTATTAAATATTCTAATTCTGTCCAGAACCAGAAGGTTCCAGAAAGTATTTAATTTTCATCCTCTGCTGGTCATCCTCTCTTGTCCTTATTTCTCTGAATTTTTTAGGAGAAGAAGAAACTGAAAATAATAGTCAATGGGCACATCTGCAATGTCGCCTTTATCAACCCAGTGGGCTATACTGGATATACTTAATAGCAAGCTGCATTCAGGATAATTTATGATGGTTCCTCTATCTATAGCCAGCCTATATCATCACTGTATGACTGATTTTGCAGAATAGCAACCAAGATGTCCTTGTTTTGCTAAGACTTCAAACTTTATTTTCATCAGTCCATTTAAATGCCTAATTTTCTTTTAGTATTCCTGCAGTAACTGTAGAAGGGCTACATTAACCAAAGGCATGATTTGAACAGTTATATCAAATATTTCAGTTAATGAATTTTCTGTATAGT